AGCGCCAAAACCGTGATGGGAACTAATAAATCCGTGGTGGCTCTAGGGAGGAGGCGAGGCACTGCTGGGAACCGTGCGGATGTATAGCTCCGGCCGAGATACAGGTCCGGGAGCACTCCACTGTGAGGTCACCCCGGAGCAGTAGCTCAGGTGTCCTGGGGGAGCCGGGGGACGGCTGGGGTGGGACATCGTCCTCCTTCACCATTCCTCTCCAATTTCCATGTTTCTTGGTGCCCGTGCATTCAACTGCAGAGTTTTGGGAAGAAAACTCCATCTGTGGGGCCCTGGAGGAGAAGGTGCTCCTTGGGACGCCTCCTCTGGGAAGCAGGTCCAAGACGACTGAGTGCCTTTTGGGTGCCCTGCCCCGACTGTTTTGCTTTTGGCCTTGTGAGTTTGAAAGGAAGCAGTGATACTTATTTTTTCCTGCTGCAGCGCCGCGGATCCCGCACCCCTGTGGATCAGATGTCGTGAACCGTTTCTGGGCTGAGCTGGTTTTTCAGGTGAGTAGGGCATGAGACGGTGCTTGGCCTGGCGCTGCCATGGCACCAAGAGCGCGGCTGCCGGTGTCAGCTCTGCAGGGCTTGGTTTTGCTGCACCTCTGCTCGCTGGGGTCGAGCAGAGCGGAGCCGCCCGCAGTTCCTACCAGGATGTGGCTTTTTGTTTGCCATGAAGCTGAGCAAGCAGCAGCTGCCATGAGTGACTTTTTTTTGGACAAAGTGTGTTTATAACACAGAGGTAAAGGTGAATTGTTTACTTCAGCCTTTGCTTTCAAACCTACCTCCCTTAAAAGTCTCGGGGGAGCGTCGCAACCACTCCTTGTGACCAGAGCTGTGTTTCAAGGGAGAATAAAACACAAACAACTCTCCTGTGGTGGCTTGTGTTGCAACTCCCCAGAGTGATCGTGCTTGGTGGGTGAAAACAAGCAGGAGGCATTTGCCAGGCTGCTGTGTCCCACAGTCAGCACGAGAGAGAAAAGATGGCAAAGAAAACAGGAAGCCTTGGTTGGGCTTATAATAACTCTTTTAACGTAAAAAAAAAAAAGTCTACAAGAAATACCGGTAATTCATTGCACCTGAATGTGTTGAGCTTTTTCTGGCTGGGTCGTCAGCTTTCTCTGAGCCCCTCTATGTGCTCGGATTCCAATGGAGGGCTCAGCTCTGAACTGGTATGGTTCTTGTTTGGGTTATTAAAGGACTGGACTTCTAGAGTTTTTGACAAAGTGGCTGCCTTGGTCACAGTGTCAGGTCTGGTATCTATAAAAGATAAATTATTTGATTATGGTCCCCTAATCCCAGTACTGTAGAGCTGTTGGGTGGTGCGGGCTCCCAGCATGGTTTTTGGCCTCTCCTGGAGGCAAGGCTGGTCGTGAACAGTATGGCTGGTTCTGGGGAGATGGGGACAGTGCCTCTCTGTCCTCCCTCCATAACCACCTCATTCCCAAGAGGCACTGAAGCAGTGTGATTTGTACCTGCTGACCAATTGGAGCAGGCTGATGCAACGTGGGACTAATATACAGGAGGTTTTGGAGGAGGGGCTGCACTGTCTTTAAGCTTCGCGCATAAGAGGAATTGGAAGTGGGTATGTTTTGCTGCAAATAAATAGCTTTAGAGAGTGATTGCTTGTCTGACTGCTAGCTTAACTCTCCTCCTTTTTTTTCTTCTCTCTTCTTGCCACTAGTGCATCAGGAAGCATGGAGCACCAAGTGTCCATCATGTCCGACTGGGTGCTTCTTGGACTGATTGCAGCACTGGTCATGCTGCTGCTGTTGACCATCTTCGGTTTCGTTGTCTACTCGGGGCTCTTCACTGAGGTGGTTGTGAGTGCTGGCTCCCCGCCTGTCGGAAACATCACGCTGGCCTACAAGTTCCGAGTGGGCCCGTATGGCGAATCTGGGCAGCTCTTCACAGACGGCTGCAGCATCTCTTCGAAGCTCTGCTCCATCGGCGTCTACTATGACAACCCTCACACGGTAAGGTGTGCCCGGTGGGGCCGGCAAGCTCTTGTGTTCCGTGTTCCTGGCTCGGGATGCTCCCCGATTGTATTTCAGGCACTTGCAGCTCATCCTCTGTAGATGAGCACTGAGGTTCACAAGGTCTCCCAGATGTGCAGAGGATGCTCTGTGGGGAAAGACACCTGAAAGCAGATGGTTTCTTGGATAACCCTAACTGGAAGGCATTGGGCAAGCAATGCTGAACAAGTTATCAGCAGGATAACGGATCTGGTGAAGCAGCAGAGGTCAATGTCCATGACCCCAAGGTGAGGAATTCCTTAGCAGATCCTCTGGCTGCAGGAAGTGCAGCCGAGGCTCCTTCTGGACTTGCAGCTCTGTGGTTGAAAGCAGATGGTCTCTTCAGTGAGCTGTGTCCTCATCCATACTCCTCTTGTATCTAGTGCTTTCATGTATTTCTGAGCTTCCGTGTAGTCTTTACATCCCCCAAGAGTTCTTACTGAAACATCAGGTGGTGCATGCTGAGGGCTCTTGTCTGATGAAACAATTACTCCATGATGCTCTTCAGGCTGCGAGGTGAGCAGAAAGTGCACTGCCTGATGGCTACCAGCCAGAGCTAAGTGCTCTGGTGGGTATGTTCCAGGGCAAGGGGCAAACAAAAGTGCATCAGAACTTGCTGGGGGGTGAGGAGCCTGGCTGCTGATGCTTGGTGGCACTGGGGTCTCCCGTTATTGGCATGTGGGCATTTGTCTGTGGCAGACAGCCTGGCTCCCCAGTAATTCTGCAGTAGCTAGTGTGACCGTGGAGGAATGCTGAGGGGGGTGGGGGTGACGATGGTGGGGTGGCCAGCAGCCCTGTGCCTGTGCTTGGGCACGTGTGCTGGGAGCTGGCGTGGGGCACAGTGCTTGGGCTGATAGCTCTCGCCCAGTGCTTCTGCTCTGGGAGTGACTGGCCCTGCTTTAGGAACCCTCGTGGGCCGCATAGTACCTGCCCCTGCTTCATTGCTTGCAAGGTGGTGCTTCCAAGGGTTGGACCTGCTTAGAGGGAACTTGTCCATGAAAACATAGTGCTGAGTGGCTTCTTGGAGTACTGTGGCAGGAGCATACCAGAGGTGAGAAAACACTGAGCTGACCGTGCTCAGCAGAGCCTGGGGCACTCATCCACCTTGTGTCTTTGTGTCCTGTGGTGCGCTGATTTACTTTTACCTTCCAGTTCTTGCTTCTGGATCATGGGAGGCGGAGAAGAGACACCCTGCAGTGCCTCTTCCTGGCTTGGGACGGAGGATGGTAAAGAGGACTTCCCCCCTGCCCTGGGATGAGCCGGGCAGAGGCAAGGTTCAACTAGATGCGCGTGGACACTTTTGTCTGCAAGAAGTGTTGTGTTTGGAGTGGGTGAGGGATGGGAGCCATGGAGATTACCTGGTGTGCTAGGCCCATGTGGTCGGAGTCGCCAGTTCCCCCGCTACTAATTTGTGTCCTTGTCCTTGTGTCGAGGTCCTCTTCTGGAGCAGAGAACCCCAGTGCTGCTGTTTCTTCCCCTGGCATCTCTGGGGGTGGAGTGGGGCAAGTCGATGCTGTCGGAAGGGCTCAGCATCCATGCTTGGTGCTGCCCTGCTCCAGGGACGTGATATGGACATGCCTGCAGTTGCCTTGCAAACCTTTTCTGTTTGGGTGCCATGCCTTGTCTCTCTGTTTGCCGAAGCATGGGCTAGTGAAAGCTCCTACTGCTGTGGCCCGCAGGTACTGATAAGGATATTTGCAGTGA